TGGAGGCTGTCGGTCCAGCCCAGCCTTGAACTCACAGAGATCCACCTGCCTCTGCCTCCCGAGTGCTGGGATTAAAGGCGTGCCCCACCACCGCCCGGCCATTACTTTATTTTTAAATAGGTTTCTTCACATATGAATCCCAGTTCCATCTCCGTCCTGTTCTCCTGCAACCCCACCATCACCCCTCCAGATTGTCACTCTTATCTGGGGGTCAGAAATGTATAGTTGTCAGTTTTGATTTATCCTAAACTTTCAATCAAGATGGCACAAAAAATGCTGAAAGTAAGGGAAAACAAAGGATAATATCTGAGATAGAAATCTCCTTCCCTGGGGCCCACTGATAACTGATAGTTCCTCAGTGACAACAAATTCAGGTGGTCAGGATCGGGCCCAAGTTGTGCTCTCAGCTATCATTTTGGAGTTCATGAGCTCTTCCTTGTTCAGGTCACTTTCACAAGCCTGGTCTTGAGCACTTTGCTCATGACTCCTCCCAATTTGTTGCTGAGTTCCAGGAGTTCAGTTCAGTGTTTATCTGTGAGTGTATGCCTCTGATTCCATCAAACAATGGATAAAGGCACTATTATGGCATACATGGTCGTCATCAATCTCATTATCCTAGAAGGCATTTAATGGAGCCTCTCCACTATTGCCAGTTGATTTCATCATTGTAGCTCACTGGAAATCTCACTAGTGCCAGATATCTCCTCAAACTTCTGTCCTCTATTATTCTCCAGAGATCGATTATTTATTGGAGAGGGATTCTTGTGAAGAGAAGATAGTAAATTTCTTGAAAATTATATTATTCAAATATTTACATGTCACAAAGTAAATTTAACACTGACAAAATCAATGCCAAAAACATGCATGCATGTTTGAAATGTATACATATTATGAATATCACTTTCCTAAAATAATAGTACAAACTTTTGCTTGATCTTCATGTCACTTTTGAATATCGCATGTTAAATTTGGTACTTTCAGAGCATGATTTCAAAGTAATGATTGCATATATATTTCCAGGTATATCTTTCAGGCACTCATGTATATATAATGGAGAAAATCTCAATATCAATCATTTACCATGGGACTTGGTTGTCTGAAATTATATATCAGGAAATTATAGCAGCAAGCAACTATTGCCAGCCAAGATTTATAATCACTCATTCCAGGGAAAAATGGAGGGTTTTATGTAACTAGTCCGTAGATAGTTACAGGCATATGGTCAGATGGTAAGAATCTGCTTTGCACACATTGGGCTAATCTTTTTACAATCATAGTCAGAACCAAGCTAGTTTTTATTTTCCTCTGGTCATACATTTTCAGCTTAGATCCTTCTGCTGCAATACACTTTCAGTTGGGAGAGAGAAATGAGTCAGTAGCTCTGAAGAAAATCTGCAAGGCAACTACAGCATTTGCCTCCACTGCTTGAAATGAGATCATGCTCTTCATTGGTTCTTATGTCTTCCAAAATTTGAATGCACACAGTCCTTCAATCAGGCCCTAGGAGTGGTATTAAAAGCATCACCAGTGCAGGCACTTTCCAGTCAGGCTCTGGCTATACTCCAGTACCCAGCAGTTCCTGGGTATAGTCAGAGGCTGACTGCAAACTGACCCAGACACGGCAGACTGCTCCTGACATGTGTGGGAATCAGTGCGTGAGGAATTGAGCAAAGGCAGGGATTGTTTCATTCCATTCATGGTAGGACTTGCAGTGAAAATTTCCACCTAAAATGTATGCATCACATTTCAGGCACTTATATACATATATTGGGGAAAAGCTAAAACTCTTGTGTTTAGTATTGCTCTCAGGGAATCTGACAGGCATATTAGAAAATGTCAGCATAAGCAGCTCTTGGCAGCTGAGATTCATAATCATACAGATAGAGGAGAATCGTCAGCTTTCCTGTAAGTAGCCAGGGCATAGTCCCAAGAAACCTGATGTATGATCATTCCCTACCTGCTACCATTTCCTACTTTTTCCCTTTGATTACTGGATTTTGCCCAGTATGCATCCTTGCTTTTCATGTCGTGATTTCAATTTTGTTTCTCTGGCTGCACACATTCATGTGAGAGGGAGAAATGAATCAGCAGTTCTGATGGCTATCTCCAAGGGAACATCAGATTTGTCCCCTGTGTTGCAAATGAAATCATGCTTCTCATTGGCTACATGCTCAATTTACATGTATACAGCCCTTCAATCACAGGCAAGGAGTGCTAATAAAAGTGTCCACAGTGAGGCTTCTTACCAGTCGGGCTCGGGCTATACTCCAGGACTCAATAGATCCTGGGTATAACCCGAGCCCGACTGTGCACCTACCCAGACAAGGCTGGCTGCTCCTGACATCTACAGGAGACAGAGCCAATGGGAATTAGCAAATGAAGGGATTGTTTCATTGCCAGTATCACTGCCCTGATCCTGTCTCCTGTGCACAGAGTAACATCCTGTTTCTGAAAGTATGGCTTCCTTTTAAAATATGACATCCCTGTCTTAACTTGAAGTGCTATATCATCTGGGACTATAATTCTTGTCCTTTCTCCTAACTGTTAATAATTTGATCTCAGGTATTTCTAAATCTATCATGAGTAATTACACTGTTCTTTGTAATTCAGAAGGACTCGAATATTCCTGTTACATATAGGATTGGTAGATATTTTTAGTGTGTTTCTAAAATAAGAATTAATAATCCTCACCATGCCATGAAATATTGCCTTTCCATGTACACTCCACTATTTTTTAAAGTATGTACCACTAAGGATATCAAAAATATTAGGCCTGCATCCATACTCATCAGTGGAACTTCCATTTTTCAGAAATCTAGTTGTCATTCAAGTAAGTAGATTATGTATATTTATGATATGAGAGGTTTTGCAAAGTATCAAATTTTTTTGTTTTTATTTTTCCTTGATAAAAAAATTACATGCACACCATTTTTTACAAAAGTGATTTTCAAGAGTGATTTTATATATTAAAATAAATACTTTCCCCAGTAATATAAGAAAACCTTTTGAATTAGAAAAATGTGGAAATTCCTGCTAGTGTAGCATCTGACCACTACAAATTGGCTGTGAAAAGGAAAAATAAACAACAAATATCAGATCTACATGTCTCCCGTTGATGCACAGACCCTCTATTTACAAAGTGATTTGGGTGAAAATGACTGTGACTCTTGCTTCTTGTACCAAGCATTGAGTTCCCTGGTAACAATTTTACAGATGTCATTTTTCTAATATAAATTCGACAGCAACTGGCAATCAGAATTTATGCCTACTTGGGTTTTCAACCAAGAATTAAGAGGGTTTTGAGGTAAGCATTGTGTCTTCATCTCACATTCCCCCAGAGGAGAAGAAACGCCTCAAATATTTGTGGGGAAATGCACTCAGGGAAGAATGTGTGGGAGGACTGTGAGCCCCGATCCATGAGTTCACCATGATTGTTTCTTTTATTTGAGCAGCTGTGGGTTCAGAACCATTCACGAGTTCTTCGCAGTGGGAAGAAAAGTCTGATGTTATCTCCTCCAGACTGTAGTCTCTAGGGACTGCAACATAAGCACCTGAGAAATAGACTCAGGCACCACACCTGCCCGAGATGAGGCCCCTGGGCACCAAGAGCAGCTGTGGGGTGTAGTGTGGAGACTAGCCGATGCCCCAGGGGTGGAGGAAACCAACAGCCACCCCAAGGGTGCATCTCCTTATATATTGCTTAGTGTTCTCAAAGTCCATCTGTGTCGTTGGTCTTTGGAATGAGTTTGCCGTGGTTATACAATGACTGAGCAACATGTAGGCCTCGAAGAGGTGAGGTACACAAGCAGAGAAAAACCCAAAGATGAACACAGGTGTTCTGGAAGGCCAGTTCAGCTCCAGGTAACCACCAGTGTATCCAAGCAAGAAACATTCAGTCCATCTTGCTATCAGAACCAGTCAAAAATCCAGTTTCTGATATATTCCACAAGACTGCACCACGTCCTGAAGGGCTAGCAGCTAATGTGGTGTGATTCCCAGAAAAAATGTGTGCTTTAAAGACCAAACACAGAGGCCACTCTTGCATTGTCCTGCCTCCCCACACAGGCAGGTGTGTCCATTACTTCCCCTGCCCCCAAGGAAATAATAAATTATTAGGCTCATGCCAGAGATTTCATAAGCATTACATATGATACAAATATATTCTAAAAATTGTCATCTCACTTCTTTCCACTTCCATGGTGTGTGTGTGTGTGTGTGTGTGTGTGTGTGTGTGTGTGTGTGTGTGTGTGTGTCTGTGTCTGTGTGTCTGTGTGTCCTTTGCTTTGTTTGGTCTTCCAAACACTCTTGATGAATCCAAACCAAACAGTCCTCCCTCAGTTTTTGGGAAACATTGCCAAAGAGAGGGAAAGAAGACACCTGAGCAAAACTTCTGAGGAGACTGTGAAGCATTTGAGGAGGCTGAGTTAATGAGCAGGAAGGACAAGGTGAGGTCGCCCACTCCAAGCTGCAGGAGCTTCATGAGTCAATTCCCCAAGCAAGAGTCCAGATACTATTTTACACACACACACAACCCCCACCCCACCCTGTGATCTCTAGCCTGGACACAACACACACACAAACACACACAGGTGTGCGCAAGAGCCCACAATTAGGACTACACACCCTTTCCCAAAATAAAATAAGAAAGCAGCAGCTATTGGTCAATTTGAGGAACTGATTTTGTGAATGAGAAAAAAAAAGAACTAAAATAAAATGAAATTCTTCTCTCAGATTAATGAAATCTTCTCAAGCCCAACCCTGCAAAGCTTGGGCCCTGCAGGTTGGATTTTTCTTTTTTTCTGTCTGTCTCTCCTTTGCTTTCTGACTCGTGCCCCATAAATAAATTCTGTCTTTGACAACTAGCTGTAACTCACATACTAGCAAGAAAACAGGCGCATTCTTTCAGTCTATGAGGAAAACAACAACAACAACCACAAAATCCTGGGTTGAAACCATGGATGGGAGGGGGCGTGGCCGCAGAAAGTCCACCCCCTCTAGGTTCACAGTTAGCCCTCCACAGGCTTGCGGGGGTTGGCAATCACACGTGTGTATACTTAGGTCAAAAGACAAACAGAAACGCGTATGAACTATCTCTGAGCTCAGTTTCACATCTGGATGGAGTCCTGATAATCCTGAGTTTCCTGGAGGCGGTCAAACTAGAGAAGAGCTCTAAAAAAGAAAGAATCCTTCCCTGAGCAGGCGCTGTTAGGAAGGGTTGGACCTGGGCAAGGTGAGGACGCGCCCATTCTTCTTGCCCCCATTCATGTGGGTGTACGGGATGTGTTCCTCATAGGTCCGTTTAATGCTCAGAGAGGACCCTCCTTTCCGGCCCCCAGCCTCTTCCCTGTAACAGTGAGAGGACCCATCCAAGGGGACATTCTCCATGTCCTCGAACTCCATCTCTAGCTCCTCGCTCTCAGAAGCCTTGTTCTCTTCGCTGTAGAAGAAGGAAACTTCTGGAAAGCTCGGGTGGAGGTCATCCTTGAGCAAATTGACAATTTCCAGGAAGGTTGGCCTCATCTTGGGGTTGAAGTGCCAGCACATGCGCATCAGGTCCGTGAGTCTCTCAGGACAATTATCAGGTGGATCCAGATAGCCTCCATCCATGACAAATTTCAACACCTGTTCATTAGACAGGCCTTGGTAAGGTTGCTCAGCCAGACTGGTGATTTCCCAAAGGACCACCCCAAAAGACCACATATCAGAAGAAGCAGTAAACACTCCATCCTTCAGGGACTCAGGTGACATCCACCGCACGGGCAGCAGGCCCTTGCCCCCTTTCTGATAGTAATCTGTCTCGTAGATATCCCTTGTCATTCCAAAGTCTCCAATTTTGACGGTAAAATCGTGAGCAACCAGGCAGTTTCGAGCTACCAGGTCCCGATGCACAAACTTCTTGGCATTCAAGTATGCCATGCCATCAGCAATTTCTGCTGTCATCTGAATCATTTCTTGCAAGGTAGGGGGAGGTCGGCCTGGGTTATTCTCAGCATCTGGTCGCAGAGAACGGAGGTGACTCTTCAAGTCTCCATGAGCCATCAATTCCATCACTACCAGTGTTGGCTGGCCCTTGGACACCACCCCAAGGAGGCGGACCACATGATGGCAGGTGAATCCCTTCATGACTGATGCCTCGTTGAGGAACTCGATCCATTCTCGGAGACCGGCTGACTCATTGACAGTCTTCACCGCAACTCGGGTCTCTGCCTCGCCCTTGATGATATCCTTGGCATTGCCCTCATACACCATACCAAAGGATCCCTGCCCCAGCTCTCGTAGGAGGGTGATCTTCTCTCAAGGCACCTCCCACTCATCCGGCAGGTACACAGAAGAAGGAAACACATCACTGGCACTGAGGTACTCAGGGTTTGAAGATGCATACAACGGTCCCATTGGACTATCTGGCTGCCTCTTTCTCAGGAACAGATAAATACTTCCAATCACAACACTGAAGAGGAAGACAAAGATGAGCGCCCGGTGATAATTTTGGCAATATTTGATGGGACATCTAAATAATCGGTCACATAAAAATAGGTGGGTTCTGTCCAGGAGCCATTGCCTGCCAGGGAGGTAGCCCGGACTCGAACACTGTAGTTTCCTGGGGAGAGCCCTCGAAGCCTGCAGCCCTGCTCCAGGGCAAAATGCTTCCGGGAGACACAGAGGTGCAGCTCCTCATCACCATAGCGCCGGTAGCTCACTTCATACAGCACGATCAGACCATTGGGCTCCTTTGGCTCTTGCCACATTAAGTGTACAACATTGTTCTCAAAGATTTCATGGGTCACAGGGCCAACGATGTCATCTGCCTTAGCTTCAGGCATGGTTCGGGCACTGACATAGGCAGCCACACTGCACCTCTCATCTGGTGAGTCTTGGTTGCAGGCTTGCAGCTCAATGCAGTAGCCAGTGAAGTGTCTCAGGCCAGAGATGACAAGTGACTCCTTGTTCACCACTTTCTCAAATGGCCTGTGCTCTTCCTGACTTGTGGGAACAACGGTGGAGGAGACGTTGGGAAAATCTGCAAGTGTGGGCATGGTGGCCATCACATCCCCCACCTCTTCAAGGGATCTTCGTTTTCGGGATGGCCTAGTGTCCTCGGCACCACTGCCTGAAGAGGGTTTTCTGGGGACAAACACCACGTTATGAAGGTAATCCTCGAAGGTCTTCCTGAATGAGGACTCCTCCAGCTCCTTGAGGATCTGAGAGTCAGTCTTGGGGCATGAGCAGCATTCACTGGCTGAGTCGTCATACTCGCTCTGATTGTGCTTCTGAGAATCATCTGATTCAAAGGGTGGGGACCAGGTCCGTGAGGGGAGCTTCAGCCCTTTGAGACAATAATCCAACTCAAACAGCTCGCTGTCCTCCGCCTGCCTCTCCCAGTAGACCAGGTAGTGCGTCATGTTACCATTGGGGTCGGAGGGGGGCTTCCACTTTATGATAATCTGAGATGAGGAATTAGAAACTGATATGGGGTCCAGGGGCACAGAAGGGTTAGTGGCATCTGTCTGCACATAGATGATGTCACTTTTGGCTCCGTAGGTCCGGTGTTCATCAGAGAAGGTAACCAAGGTCTTGACAAAGATAGCATATTGAGTCCAGGGCTTGAGACCCCGCATTAGCCACCCAGGGTGGCTTGGGGTTTGAGACTTGGGGTCGTTGGACCTTTGGGGTGGGTCAATATCTACCACAGTCCAGCTGTTGGAGCCACAAGCATCCTGCCCATCAAACTCTGTCACATTCTGATAAGGGGCCTCTTTATAGAAGAGCATGAATCCCAGGAGGTCTCGGAAGTCAGGGGGCCAATAGGGCTCCCACCTCAGCAAGATCTTGTCAAAAGATGTCCGAATGAAGGAAAATTTAAGTAACTCATTTTCACAGGATGCCTGGTCCCCATTGGTCTTCAGGGCAATGTCATTCCTCTCCTGGCGGCCCTTAGTTCCAGAAACTTCTTCCATCTTGTGAATTTCTGACAAGCAGAGCTTGGGGTTGTAGTGGAAGAAGAGCTTGCCCTGAGTGATGGTAAGGTTGTGTTTGTTCCAGTCCCAGAGCTGTCAGAGGTTCTGGTTGTCCAAGGCATAGAAAGAGTAGTTCCCGATTTCCAAGGTCTCTCCTCGAATCAGATGAAGCTTCCGGAAGAAAGAAAGAGATACTAGAGCATAGGAACGTCGGATCTTTAAGAACCCTGACATTTCTTCAATGAGGCCAAGGATAGCCTCCACCTCAGCTGCCAGGTTGTTGCCCCCTCGGATGTTGATGATGAGGCTGCCATTGATCACTGTGCAGCCTCGGAGCTCCTGAGCAGATGTCACAGAGTCAATGGTCTTCTCGCCATCCAGGATCTGGCAGACCTTAGGACAGGGTCCCAGACATGGGGTGCACATCAAGTTGCTGGAATTCATGGTATAGCCAGAAGGACACTCAGGGATGCACTTGTTGTTGTGAATGACGTATTGGTGGCAGCCAGGCTTCCGAGAGTTCCTGCATTTGTAGTGAATGTCTTGACAGAAGCTGAAGTTCACACAGCGCCAGTCCTGGAAGTGGTAGTAAGGGGGTGGGCAGGTCTCCACACACCGACCATCCAGGTAGAAGTTGCGGCAGGCCACACACTTGGTGGGGTCATCGGGTTCCGAACAGTTGCCTAGGCACTCCTTGTGGCAGCACAGGCCTTCAGCTGTGCAGCCATGTGACTTACAGATGGTGAGGCAAACTAGAGACAAGAAGAAAGAAACAAAACAGCTGGTCAAGGACTCTGTCCAAGTTCTGTCTGCACAAACTGCCAAACAAAATAATAACAATAACAGCCACACTTAAACAGTACTTGGCACGTGCCTGCCTGGCCTGTGAAAAATAACAGTAGCTCCCAAAGCAACTCCACACTCGGCAAAAGTTAAACAGTCACCTGAGGGAGGGGAGGGCAAGAGGCCTAACTCGCAGCATTTGTCAATTACTACTACCAACTTCAAGGTACTGACAGGAAGCCAAGGAACCAAGTCCTTGGCAAGAGACACAATATAATACATTCTAAAATAACGTTTCCCATAGCCCACACAGTCTATGTCTATGACAGATATAGTAGTAGTCAATAACTTCAAGGGCACACACACTTTGACTGACGCTATGCCTAGGGCTGGAAAGATGGCTCAATAGTTGCCAGTACTGGCTGCTCTTGCAAAGGAGTTGAGTTCAGTTCCCAGCACCCACAACAAGCCCATGGTTCACTGTGACTCTGGCCCCAGGGGATCTGATGCCTCCTCCTAGGCTTGGCAGGAACCTGGTCATGTTGCATATGAGCATATTTTCTGAAAATACCATATAATAGCTAAGAAGTAGTTGTTTCCATCATTTGTTTAAATGTGATTTGTTTTAATTGTAGGTATACATAATTTTACATATTGACTTAATAATTTACCTATTTATTTATATATTGCATTGTTGGGAATGGAACCCAGGACTTGTCTGGTTTCTATCACTGAGCTACACCCCAGCACCTCATTGGTGGATTCTAGGTAGGGGCTCTACCACCAAGATACAGGCACTGCCCTTATATATGCTGGGTGTTTCACTTCATCACTCTCTCTTACTCCCTTGAGACAGAGTCTCTCACTGAACCTAGAGCTGGGCTGGCAATCAGTAAGCCCTAGAGATCTCTCTTGGGTATATAACTTGACTATTCCCTGCTTTTTACATGAATGCTGAAGATTTGGACTCAGTTCTTCATACCTGCACATTAAAAACTCCTACCCAGCCACCTCCCCAGCCCCAACTGTGTTAATTCTATTAATTTTGATAATGAACCACCATACAGTTTTTTTTCAGCCACTGAACCATTTTACATTCCCAACACCTTCACAAAGACTGATTTCTCCTGAGGAGCCAAGTTTTATGTTTCAATTCAATGCACTACAATTTCAATTTCAGTTCCCATTACTATAGCCAACTCTCAACTCTTCTTCAGGGCAGAACATATTTGGAGACTAAACATCTTCAGGGTACTGAGGAAATGTCCTAGAGTTTGCCAATGAGACTAGGCTAGTGGGCTGGCAAGCCTCACAGAGCTTCTCTACCGCACCCCAATAGAGTCCAAGGCTCCAAGCACACTAGGCAAGACCACTACCCCTGAAGCCGCATCCTGCTGCAGTCTACCCTCCTTTCCTTATGGGCTCCAGCAACAAACCGGAGTACAATCCCGCCATGATCCAACTTGGAGAACCTAGGTGTTTATTGGACATGTGCAAGCACAGGAGCTTGGGTGACCGCAAAGCAACCTTATCCCAGGAAAGCCCCCCCCCCCCGCACGGATGATGACTTCTCTACAGCCGCACAGATAAGAGATCTCCCTTCCACCCTCTATACACCTAGCACCAAGACCATGAAGCCATGGGCATATGCACCTGACTGGGAGGCCAGGAGGGGGCAGTAAGAAGGCTGGGGGGAGGAGGTGTGGTGATCTATTATTTATTATATACAAGAGTGAAGAGAAACAGGGCTCACACCTTTGATGCTAGCATCTGGGATCGCACACCTTTAATCCCAGCATTAAGGAGGTATATAAGACGGGAGCAAGGTTTCAGAGCTGTCATTCATTCTCCAGCCACATTGAGTACAGGAAGGATTGAGTCTCAGGATTTTCCTGCCATGTTGAGGGCAGCATTGCAGTCTGGGATTGCAGACTGAGGTTTGGTGAACCCAGGATCGCCTTTCTGACTGAGGTAGAGTGAGAGCTAGTGCCCGGCTGTTTTGCTTTTCTGATCTTCAGCTTGAAACTTGAACCCCCAATATCGGTCTCTGGGTCATTTATTTTTCATGCTACAAAGGGGTAAATCCAGGGATTCGCTGCACCCCTCCTACTACGAGGGAATATCAAGGGGGACAACGACTACGCGAGACAGTTTATTGTAGGCAGTCACCGCTACACTAATGAAGTCGGCCTGTTAAGCTCAGTGGACAGTGCCCTGCAACACCTCACCCAGGGGCTTCCCCACTACTATGCGTCCAGGAATACAGACGGCAAAGCTATACAACGTTAGCTGTGCCAACAACATTATCATCACTAGTCCGGCTCTGTCCAGCGAGATCTGAGGGCTGAAACTCAATTGGAGGAAGCAATAATAAAGCAGATGATTATCTAAGGCTCACAAAGACATGGACTCTCCCATACGACACACATAAGGGCAGGAAAAAGCCCATTTCCTGGGTCCGGGCTGCAGCTGAGGCTCAGCCTCTTTCATTCACAAGAAGCTTCATCAAAGCCCTAATAAACACTTCCCAAACACATAAGCTCCGCAGCCCACACAATGGTAAAAGCGGCCAGTGGTTGCAAACAAAGCCAGGGGCAAACAGCCAGGCACTTCAATCTTGCACTTTGCACTGTAGGATTCCATTTATAGGGCATCGGGGAAAAGGGAAAGAAAACATGGTGACAGGCAGACACGCCCACTGGCTACTATGGTCTGCAACTGGGGCGGATCAGGCTGTGGAAGCACCAGGGAACTGGGGGTGATGGCGGGGCAGACATGGACAAATCACTCATTCACTTTCACATTTTATTTATTTGTATATTCAAGGGATGGGGTGCACCTACAGGGACTAGAAGAAGAGGTCTAGGTGCCATCTTTTTTCTTTTAATATTTATTTGTTGACAATTTCATACTTGAATACAATGCATCTTAATCATACCCTCTCAGAACCCCTCCAACATCATGTATATCTGCCTCCCAACATCATGTCCTCTATGTTAAGTTTAACATTTATTAACCCATTAAAGGCCTATTCCTTTGAGACAGGATCTCTCACTGACCTTGGAGCTAGGCTAGAAGCCAGCAAGCCCCAGGGACACTCCTGTCTTCAAGCTCCATAGCATTGGGGATCCAGGCTGGCATATGGCCACTCCATGCTTTTTCTCTACGTGCTAGAGATTCCAGACTTTCATGGAGAACTTTTACCCACTGAGCCATCTCTCCAGCCCCCAATCTCTATCTTGTCTCTTTCTTTTGGTGTTGGGGACTGAACCACAGGCTTATGCCAAAGTTGGTGAGAACCAGATGCCTGGGCCAGGACTGGGGAAGGATATATACTCTGAGAAATTGGCATGTGAGTACCTAACCAAGTTATAATTACACAGTTGCAAGTCACAGCAGGGTGGATACAGGTAACAGCAGTGGCTGCCCATTTGGAAAAGCTACAGAAAGTATGGTAAAGTAGAGAAATAGGTTGGGGAGGATTAATAAGGCAACCCACACCAGGCCTAGGTACTGGTGGAGTTGACCACTGCTGGGGGTGGGGAAAGATTCACATTTCAGTTTTGGTTGTTTTGTTTTTGTTTTTTCAGGCTTATGCCCCGATTCTAGAAGCCAAGCACCACATCCATGCACACAATGGCAGCACTTACAACAGATAATATGAAGTTTGAAGGGAGATATGGGGAGGGGCTGGGGGTGAATATAACTAAAACACATTTTATATTGTATGAAATTCTCAAAGAACAAAGTAAAAACAGATTTTTTTTAGTGTTTTTCCTTTTTTTGTATTCTTTTTTTTAAATTTTTTTTTAAATTTAGATAAGAAACAAGGTTGCTTCACAAGTCAGTTCCAGGTCCCTCTCCTTTTCCCTCCCCTCCTCCCGTGCCCTCCCTCCATCCTCCCCCCCCCCCCGTTATCCCCTCATTCCCCCAGGGAGGGTGAGGCCCTCCATGAGGGTGTCCATAGTCTGTCATTTCATATAGGGCAGGGCCTAGACCCTTCCCCAAGAGTTCAGGGTGAGAGTGCACCTCACATTGTTCTATGGGAGTCCAGAGTCCGTGTGTATACTTGGTATGGGTACTGATCTGCTGCCCAAGGCTCAATAGATTACCTAGGCCTCCTCACTGACACCCAGATTCAGGGGGGGTCTTGATCAGTCCCATGCTGGATTCCCAGGCTGATGCCTGGGATTCAAGAGTTAACCTTTGTCTGGTCAGCTGTTTCTGGGGGTTAAACCAGCCCAGTCTTAATCCCTTTGATCATCTGTCCTCCCTCTCTGATACTGGCTTTCTTGAGTTCAGCTCAGTACTTAACCAGCCACTAAATGTAGTTTCTGTTTCCCATACTCTCTGGCCATAGGATTGTAGGCTGGCACTCCCCAGATCTATGTCTAAAATCCATATATGAGAGAGTACATGCCATGTTTCTCTTTTTGTGTCTGGGTTACCTCACTCAGGATGGTTTCTTCTAGTGTCATCAATTTGCCTGTGAATCTCATGATTCCATTATTTTTTTCTGCTGAATAGTACTCCATTGTGTAGATGTACCACATTTTCTCTATCCACTCTTCGGGTGAGGGACATCTAGGTTGCTTCCAAGTTCTGCCTATTACAAATAAAGCTGCTATGAACATAGTGGAAAAGACATCTTTGTTGTATGAATGGGCATCTTTTGTATATATGCCTAAGAGTGGAGTTTCTGGGTCTTGTGGTAGGTTTATTCCCATTTTTCCGAGGAATCTCCATATTGCTTTCCAAAGTGGCTGAACCAGTTGGCACTCCCACCAGCAATGGAGGAGTGTCCCCCTTTCACCACATCCTCTCCAGCATAAATTGTCATTGGTGTTTTTGATTTTAGCCATTCTGACAGGAGTGAGATGGTATCTCAGAATTGTTTGTACCACTAAGGATATCAAAAATATTAGGCCTGCATCCATACTCATCAGTGGAACTTCCATTTTTCAGAAATCTAGTTGTCATTCAAGTAAGTAGATTATGTATATTTATGATATGAGAGGTTTTGCAAAGTATCAAATTTTTAATGGAATATATTTTAAATTCACATAGCA